ATTTAATTTACAAGAAAAAAAGGAGGGAACGATTGGATAACTGTGTGGAGGAGGTAGTTTTTGTTTCAAACGGATACATGGAATTAAAAGACAATCGAAGGATCAGTTTTAGTAGCCTCCGTTTTTTTCCTCCAGACTCCTCCCTCCACTCTCTGCTCTTCATCTCCCTGGTGTATGTAACATCCTAATTCTTTTTGGGGTTAGAGTGAAATTTGGGCCTTTAAGAAGAATAGGTGCAAAATTAGTAGGTCCAAATGACTAGAAGGGCCATGGAATAAGAGGAAATTAAAGTACTCTTTTTTTTCAAATATATAAAAAAAATTAATTTAGTAGATAACGGGAATCACAAATGACTATATAATCAAGAAAAGATAATGCAAAATATACACACACCCAAATATCTAGAAATAAATTAAGGGATACTGAAGTATAAAATATGTATGTATATAACATTTAGAAAAGTCCAGATAAAATTTTTGAGATATCTTAACTCTTTTGTTATCATGAAATTCATCTACGATTTTTTTTATAAAATAAAATAAAAATAATAAAAAGATAAGGTAAGATACGTTAGTTTGAATTTTAAAAATTTATCTTAGTAAGTTATATATATATATATATGTTAGTTTGAATCTTAAAAAGTTATATTAGTAACCTAAACCTAGGCCCCAACCTCTGCTTTCATTCAGTATTTTTTTTCTGGAGCTGCTGTAAGTTACCTAAGTGTTCCCTCTTCACTTTCTTTTTTTTGTTCCTCCTCTATAGTGATTGTCCCTTCCTCTGCCCCTTCTCTCTCTTTCTTTGTATTTTTCTCCTCTCTCTCCTCCTTTGTATGTAACTTGCTCTCCTTATTATAACTAGCTTTGACGCAGTGAGAGATTGTATATATATTTATTGTTGAGAGGTATTATGTTAAATCTATTTATATATAGACGCTGGTGTGGGACATGTGAATCAGAAGGATTAACCTTCCTTACCTTTTTATGTGCTTTCCTCTCGGTTATGTTCTTTTATTCCTAAAGAGCAAAATCCATCTATCACAAAATGTGATAGTATTTTAATCCTAGTTTCAAAAGGGAAAAAAAAATCTTCCTTGCCAAGTTCCCAAATTTTTCCGTCAAATCTGTATGGTTTGTGTGTATATACTTCATTCATTTATCATAAAAACAGTGACGTACCTTCATAATGATACACATATATATAGATATATATATTCGGCTAGCAAAAACAATTGTTTCGTTTATATATATATATATATATTAATTTTTGCTTCAGAAAATTAATATATTTTTTCTACGTAACTCCACCATTCAAGTAATGGATATAAATTATCGTGAAGGAGTTTTTTTTTTTTTTAGTTATCGAAAACAGTGATACCAAGTAAGTCTAAATGTTTTCATTTTTATTTATATGATGACAAACTTTTCACAACATCTGTTTCGAAAGAAAATAAGAAGTATTGAATTCCAAATATGAGAATTTGACAATATTTACTTAGGTTCCTTAGAGTGTCCTCAAGTCTTAGAGCAGCTTTAGAGTGGTTCTGAGTGGTATAGTAATAAATATTGTGTTGTGATTTTGTAGACTGCGATTAAGGATTTTAGAGTGACTTTTGTTAGAGCAACAGGTAACTCTCTTCTTATTTGCCTCACTTATCGAGACTATCAGTGAGCTTTTATGAAATTGCTCAGTGGAACAGTTATTTCTTCAAGATACTGTATGATAGAAACTAAGTTATTTAGCCTTGATTATCTTAACTGTTTGTTCTATGATTTGTGTGAGATCCATAATGCTGAGAAGCAGTTGTTAAGACTAACTAAATGGTAACTAAGATGGACTGATTAATTGTTATTAAAGGAGGAGGTTGTGATGGAGACATGATATTTGTGACCACGTGGCACGGCCACCACATGGCACTCGGTGGTTGGCCACTTCCTTTGCCAGGGCAGCATCCCCCAGGTTTGCGACACTCTAGTGGTTCATACCCAGGCAGCATCCCCTACTAGAGGAACCTATGGCCCCTGCGTGCTCTGCCGACTTTGGCCAGTCGGCATCACACCGTGGGTAGCAATTAGCCCATGGGTTCATGTCGGCGGGAATAAGGAGGAGATAAGGTTGGAACTAGTAATAAAATAGAATGCAAACTTCCATTTGTTGTATAATTTATTGTCTTGCTATACTTTTAATTGTTATAGTTATAGCTCTACTATTGTTATAAACACTTTTATGATATGCTTGAACTGTTGATTTAATCACCTGGTTATCTGCTTAAATTATGAGTTCCATCTGGCATCTCACGGGTAGTGTCGGTGGGTAAGGTAGATAGGAATTGAGTTACTAAGATGTTTTGTCTCACCCCATTACTTTTATCACTTTTCAGGTGAGAGCAGCAGAGGAGATGCAGCAGAGAAAACATCGGAGGCGTGAGGCTACTTTAGGGAGTAGCTAGCCTTCCATAATTGTTATGCTTGATTTACTGTTAATTGCCACCCAGGACAGTTAGACTAGTTTCTATTCATTTAGTTAATTTGGAAATATTGCATTTCTTATGATCTTATCGCTGCTGAATTGGACTGCACTTGATTAGTAGGTTCAGAACTGTTGGATTTGCTTCTTTCTATTTTGTTTATTTGTGGATCCACAAGAAGGTGAAAAATTTCATTTAAATAAGTGGAATTTCTCTTTAAGGTAGTGCCTTGAGGCTTTTTTTAGGAATAGTGATCATGATATAATTATGCCTATCAGATGATTATGATTCTTTTTACAATCATATTGGACAGGCAGCATCCCTTCCTAAAATGATTAAGGTAGTGGTAATTTATTACCGAAGGGCAGTATCCCCTTCCTCAATTAACTTCTTGTTGGTAATTGATGACAGGCACTCTTTTGATAACCATGATAGAATGGCGTATGAGTCGTTTTTTTTCTATCATGGTTATTGGTTTAGAAAGGAAAATTTGTTTTGGTTTGCTGCTTTTATTATTGCCACATCAATTTCTATGATGATGTGTGGGACTAAGTTAAGTGTCTTAAAGGTAGGATGTTTCAGTGTATCTGCTGTGTATCCAGATCCGAGTTCCTACCATAACTGGACCTTCGCGTGGCTATCTGAAGGTGTGGAATACTTCAGGTATGCCCGAAAAATCTTCATTGGTATCATAGCTACGTTTTTTGTGATCAATGTATGTTTTTCTACTGCTCCATATGCTTATCTCCATGAGTAACGGTCTGGTTATGTGATTTGCTTCACAATATTATGTAAATCCTTCATTTTACTTTCAGTATCATGGTTCTGTATCTTATTTTTGTGTTTAGAGATGCTAGATACTTCTCTGCCTCCATGAACTTTTCTTTTTCTCTTTGATCGTTTTTCGGCTGTACCATTTTCATTTTTGGGTTTACTTAAAATCAAGTTTTTAGGCTTCAAAACCTATCCTATTGTGTAGAGGACCAAAAAATGAAGAAAATGATATAAAGTGCGCGAAAAACGGACATTAGACTGCTAAGATATGGAGGAGAGAAGTTTCCGGGTCTGACGGGTCCATTGGACCTGACCCATCGCTCCAGCCGGGTCGACCTGACCCGGTTGGAGGAAGAAGATGATGAATAATGATCAAAACAGCGTCATTTTGATCACTACCCTAAAAAAAAAGGGACAAAAAAAAGTGTGAAGGGAACCGGTTGGGCTGAACTGGACCGAGTCCAACGGGTCCAAATACTAAAAAAACAGCCAGAGATTTCTGTAAAAAAATAAACGGTTTTTTTTGGTTGGGCAGACATAGACTGAGCCCAAACAGAAAAAAAAAGATATGGTCCGCCTTTAAAAAAACGATTTTTTTAAAAATAATTTTGGTGCAGCATTGCCATGTGACGCGTTCCACCACGTGGCATGCCAGCTGGACATGTCAGGTGGTGGCGTGTGGAGGCCACCGGAACGGCGCGTGTCACCGGTGGTAGGCTGCATGGCAGCGCGTGTACTACACGCGCCGACAGGGTGAGTGGCACTTGGAATTTTTCCTATTTTCTCAGATTTTATGCTTCTTGGGGCGCGTGTAGGCGTGTGGAAGCTCCTTTTAAGGTGCGGTTTGTCTCTAAAAATCTCTAAAATCAAGATCTTCATTTTGATATATAATTTGCTAATTTTTGAGACAATTAAGGATTCGTTTGTGAGTGTTTTCAGTGTTTTTTCTGGTATTTTCATACAGAAATAAATTCCAGAATATTCAAAATAATTTAAATTATTTTGTTCTAGGTGAAAATGAAGCAAGAGGCTTCTAGTAGCACTAAAAATATCAAAGATGGTTCATTAGAATACTCATACATGGATGATGCAGTCCCAGAATATGAACCAGAGGATGAGGATCCTGAAGAGGTTCCTTAAGAAGACCTGGAGGAGTTAATGGATTCTGGACCTGAGTCCGAATCTTTTTTCCCCACTGAACCCCTCTGTGCCGAACCTCACTTGGTCATTAACGATTAACTAGATCTTCTCAATGAAACCGAAGTTGAGGAAGGAGAAGAGGTGAATCAACCCTATACCCCTGCTTTAGCTATGAGTATAGTTGAAAGAGATGCGGCCAAACTGACAAACATAAAAGGCATCAATGGCGTGCTCGCCAGTTACATCCATTACATGACCGATAAGAAGAATATTGAATTTTACCTTAAAGTCATAATAGAATACATAAAAGCAATAAGGGTCAGAGGCGGACCTAAAGGAAAAGCCATAAGAAATTTTACTGGATTTTGGCTATAGATTTAGTATCATCCTTTATGACCAAAACACACAAACTTAGGAAGCTGAGGAAAGCAATACTTGATTACCTTTATGTTCATATCAAATGATGTAATATTTGTATTCATTTTATTAGTGTTTGTTATATCAACTTTCTGGTTTCATGCATTGTAAACAGACTAAGTGTGTTATTTCATTCAATGAAATTAGCTAAATTATTGTTGAATGATTATTCTCTGAATAATATATGTATGCTTTTTATAAGTGGGAGGTTTTAGAAGATAAGACTTCTAAGAGTCACAATTTTTGAAGTGCTTATATAAAATTCTTGATAAGACATAATGATTATTGCATGTATCTGTGTGATGGGAGGTACAAACGTATGCTCTTGATCATGGATCTTGTAGTGTCATTGCTTTCTGATCAAGGATGATATAAGTACAAGATATTGTATACTTTGATGTGCTATATAACTGAAATGTTCTATGGTACGTCTCTCTTTTAGAGAGAACGTAAAATAATATGGGATAAATTTGTCACAGAACTGAAAATGGCAACCAAGAACATAATTGTTGAGCTTAATAAAGGAGAAAAGCTCAATGGGGATAACTGGGACATATGGCACCGAAAGGTCCAATGCATCTTAGAGGAACAAGATGCTGTTGAACCTTTAACCACTGCAATGGTCGAACCTGAAGCTGGGAATACAGCCTAACATAGGAGAGACCAAGAGGCTTACCTAGTTTGGAAGAAGAAAAACAGCATAGCAAGAATTACGCTTCCGAGTGCCATGACTGATGACATAATGTGCGAATTTGAGAGGCACAAAACTGCACAAGCTATGTGGATAGTGTTGAAGGACAAGTTTAGTGGTACTTCTATCACTAAACTTAAGAGGTTAATGATTAAGTTCAATGCCTACAAACTTAAGCCAAACAATCCTATGAAACAACATCTGAGAGAGATGGCCAACATGATCAGGGAACTAAAGGAAGCTAGACATGTTTTGTCTGATAAGCAGCAAGTGCAGGCTGTTATTAGATCGCTCCCTGCTAGTTGAGAGCACATGAAAGTCAATCTGACCCATAATGAAAACATCGTTACTTTTAACGGTGTGGCCAAGCACTTGGAGCTGGAGGATGAACGTTTAGAGGCTTACAAGACCTTTGGACAAGCTTATTACACTGAGGATGCCAACACTTCCCAATGAAGGCCCGATTCCAAGAAGGGCAAGAAGTTCCAAAAGAAAGGAAAGAAGGGTGGTCCTCAACCCAAAAAAGGAAAGAATCAATTCAAGAAGAAGGAAAAGAAAGGTGGGAAGAAGAAGCTAGACCTGAAGAAGGTTAAATGCTTCGCCTGCTAGAGAATGGGTCATTTCGCACGTGATTGTTTAAAACAGGCTGAGAGCGAAAAGGTATTAGTGAATTATGTGAATTCACATGTTTCATATGTTTCTAGTACTGTTTTTCTAACAGAACTTATTTCTTCTTCTTGGATTATAGACTCAAGCTCCACAGACCACGTAACCAGGGATCGAGGATCCTTTATCGAGTACCGTCAGTTACCATATCAAAGCAAGTGTCTTTATGTTGGGAACAACATGAGGATCGAGGTTAAAGGTTTGGGCACTTCTAAATTTACTTTGTGTTGTGGGAAGACCTTGATACTCCATGATGTACTTTACACTCCCGACGTCCAACGGAACTTGGTTTCTGTGTTATGTTTTTTAGAATTTGGGTTTGATGTAAACTTTCATGGTAAAGTTGCAGACATTTTAAGCAACTCAGTCCTTTATGGTTCAGCTTTCTTATCTAAAAAGTTCTTTGTTTTGGATATTGTTGGTGATTTTAATAGTAATGAATGCTTTGCTATTTCTTCGAATAATGTTGACATAAACACCTGGCATGCTAGACTATGACATATTAACCAAAATAGAGTGATTAAATTAGCCAAAGAAGAATTGTTAGGTGCCATTCCCAATATGGAAATGTCACTATGTGAGAATTGTCTAGCTGGTAAGGCAACAAGAAAGCCTTTCGGTGAGGGAACAAGAGCTGAAAATCCATTACAATTAATCTATTCTGATATTTGTGGTCCAATGTGGTATTTTATTACCTTTATTGACGATTTTTCATGATATAATCATATCTATTTGATCTCGCATAAGTCTGAAGCTCTTTAGTGCTTTAGACAATACATAAATGAGATAGAGAATCAAATGGACAGTAAAATTAAAGCATTACACACTGATCGAGGTCGTGAATATTTATCTGAACAGTTCAAATAGCTTTGTGAAGAGAAAGGGATAATTAGACAACTGACTATCCCTAGCACTCTACAACAAAATAGAGTTGCCGAAAGAAGAAACAGAACTCTTCTAGATATGGTTAGGTCTATGATGGCTCAAGCAAACTTGCCAATTTCGTATTGGGGTGATGCTTTGTTAACGGCGACCTTCATACTTAACCGTGTACCCTCAAAATCAGTCGCTTCCACACCTTACGAGTTATGGACAAAACGCAAACCAGATCTAAGCATCTTAAGACCCTGGGGGTCAGCAGCGTATATCCATAACGCTTCTCATAAGCATGGGAAGTTGGGTCCTAGAGGAAAGAAATGTATCTTCATAAGATACTCTGAACAATCAAAGAGATACGTTTTCATAGGTGAAAATGAAGATGGAACGATGACTGAAATAGAATCAAGAGATGTAACATTCATTGAGACTGAATTTCCTAATAGAAGAGATGTTGACCACACCGTTTCTCTTTATGAGACACAGGAACAAGACAGTGCAGAACAAATTGATAAACCAGAATCATCTAGGTGTGTCAATCTAAGTGGGAGCCAAAAAAGGTCAACACTGAGACCCAAACAAAGAAAGAAAGATAAGCAAATAGCTCCCATCAGAAGGAGTAATAGGAAAAGTATTCTCAAAAGACGCTTTCAAATAGAAGGCAACTCTTTCTTAATTACTCTAGAAGGGGATGATGAGCCCCGTTCTGTACGAGAGGCCTTGTCAAGTCCAAAGAAAGATGAATAGATGAAAGCTATAGAAGAAGAAATAGAATCAATGAAAAAGAACCAAGTTTGGGTGTTAGTTGATCTTCCAAAAGGGCGTAAAAGCCATTGTAAACAAGTGGGTTCTCAAGATTAAAAGAAAAGTGGATGGATCAATTGACAAATACAAGGCTCGATTAGTGGCAAAGGGGTACACACAACAGGAAGGCATAGATTATGAAGATACGTTCTCACCTGTTGTTCATTTCAATTCTATTAGACTTATTCTGACAATAGTAAATAGTTTAGACCTGAAATTACATCAGATGAATGTAAAAACCGCACTTCTGAATGCATGGTGATCTAGATGAAGAAATCTATATGGAACAACCATTAGGTTTCATTGAAAAAAGAAAGGAAAATAAAGTTTGTAAACTTAAAAGGTCCATTTATGGATTGAAACAATCATCTAGACAGTGGTATTTGAGGTTTCACAAAGCAATAACCTCATATGACTTCCAAATGATAAAGGAAGACCATTATGTCTACATTAAGCGGTTTGAGGGTAATTTTGTCATATTATCCTTATATGTAGACGATATACTATTAGCCGGAAATAGTCTAGATTCGGTGGTGGCTATTAAAGAATGGTTTTCATCAAATTTTGAAATAAAAGATATGGGTGAAGTAGAATATATGCTTGGAGTTAAGATCCAAAGAAATCGCTCAAAATGAATCCTCTCTCTTTCACAAGAGAATTACATCAACAAGATTCTTGAGTGATTTAACATGAAAGACTGTAATCCCATGAGTACCCCTATTGCTACTGGAGTGGCCTTAAGTCCTGACATGTGTGCCAAAATTGAGTCTGACAAAAAAAAGATGGAAAGAGTTCCATATGCCAGTGTTGTTGGTAGTTTGATGTACGAAATGATGTGTACATGACCAAACATCTGTTATGCAGTGGGACTGGTAAGCAGATTTCAGTCTAACCCCGGTAAAAAGCATTGGAAAGCAGTGAAGAGGATCTTGAGATACTTAAAAGGCACTTCCAATTATGCACTGTGCTATGAAGGAAGCGACCTGTGCCTTGTTGGGTACTCCGATGCTGATGTATGCAGAGATGAAGAAGAATGAAGGTCAACTTCAGGTTATACCTTCTTGCTCAACAATGGCGCCATATGTTGGAGTAGCTAGAAGCAAACGTGCATTGCCTTACATTCAATAGAAGCTGAGTTTGTGGCATGCACCACAGCGGTGCAAGAGGCTTTATGGCTGAAGAAATTTATAGAACACCTTGGATTTGGAAACAAGAGTACCAATCCGATGATGGTATACTGTGACAATACTGCAGTCATAGCCTATACTAAAGACCCTAAGTATCACAGCAAAACCAAGCACATTGACATCAAGTATAATTTTGTTAGAGATTATATAGCACAAAAGATTGTTACTGTACAATATATTTTAACCAAATGTATGGTAGCAGATCCTCTGACAAAGCCAATATGCGAAAAAGTTTTTAAAGAACATGTGCAAGCCTTTGGCATACGTAAAGTGTAATTTGTAAACCTCATTAATGAAATTATATTTTTTCTGTTATCACTTTATGTATCTGTCTGAAAGTATATAATGTCTAGTATGTCGTATAGGTTAAAAAAGTTGGCTCTCTCACACGGGCAACCACCTTTGACACTTAGGTGAAGTGAACAAAGATGAGACATTTGTGTTCACCAGTAAAGCAGCAAAGAATGCTGATATGGTAGGGAAGAAACACAAACTTTATATCACCTTGACTAAAGTGTAGCAAGTCAAGATGAGATCCACGTTGACAAAGTTGGATTGAAATTTGGAATCCCACTTCCATAATACCTGTAACCAAATAACAAACTCTTCAACGTTGACGTCATAGCAATGAGCAGAGTTGAAGAATTTGGATTTAGATACTGAGTGTGTCTGGACTTAAGTCTGTACGGTGTTAATGATAAGTCCAAATCGACATATGCTCTTATAGTAAAAGAGTAACACATTAGCATGTGTTTCATACCACATGTGCTAGGAGAACCGCAAAAGGGAAGCAAGTGAAAGATCCTTGCTTCATTGCTGTGTGAGTCCCAAGGAGGAATTATCCTCCTGTTGATGTCCTTTGACTTTGACAATATCACAAAGATATGTTTCAGTGACTGCTACTTTGGCATGTGTCCTATGATCATGATTGATGCGATCTAAGGTAGTATGCTAAGAAAGCGACTGATTCATCTCAAAGTGATA